GAGCCCAGTGGGCGAGGCTGCGGTGGCCGGGAGCAGCCACTGCACTCCAGTCTGGATGACCGAGTGAGACTCCAACTCAAAAAATAAATAAATAAATAAAATAAAAAATAAAATAAAATAAAATAGCACCCCAGCTCCACCCCTGCATTGCATTCTTGGTCGTTGACCCAGGGTGGCGCCTATGGCTGCCTGACACTGCCCTACATGGCTGTTTGTTTGTGAGTCTCCTGACTGTCTCCTCCAGAGAACGAAAGCTCGTGTGGGTTGGGGTTGGAGTCTGCACTGCCAGTCTCTGGGCAGCACCAGCTCACCACTGGTGCTCATTAAATGCAGGTGTAGACAGTCCCACGTTACCATGATGCAACACACGTTCAATAGAAACGACACTTCAAGTGCACATACAGCCATTCTGCTTTTCCCTTTCGGTACAATATTCCATAAATTACATAAAGCATTCAGCATTTTAATATATCATATGCTGTGCATTAGACGATTCTGCCCTCCTGTATGCTAACTTGAGTGTCCCAAGCACTTTAAGGTAGGCTGGGCTGAGCTCTGTTGTTGGTCGGTTAGATGTGTTAAGTGCATTTTCAACTTCTGATATTTCAGCTTGCTGTGGGTTTATCAGGACATAACCTCTCTGTAAGTCCAGAAGCATCTGAGTCTCTCACCATCCATTTGGCTCCTGTGTTCACAGGGTGAGAGAATGGCATGAACTTCCCTGTTTTTTGGATCTGCCTGGCTCCCGAAGCACAGTTAGTGCAGTGCAGTGCCTGCAAGGTAGCTGTCAAAATTCAGAATCTGCTCATTCTTGAACTGGGGTAGTGAGAGTTCACGTAGGGAAAATTGGCAAATTTGAGAAGTGAGGAAGACTTCTGTGTGTCAAATAAGAGAAAGGGAAGAAATAGAAGGACAGGCTTGAGCAGAACTGCTGGAGCCACTGGGTCTGAGGGGATGGCAGTGGTGCCTTTCTAGCTGACCAGGACTTCCCACTGTCAGTTCCTGTGACCCTGGGTGACAATGGCAATACCTGAACTCATCACTCCAGGGATCCTCTGTTTAGACACATTATTTAAGAGGAGGAAGCAGACCCTGCCTCTTTAGACTGCTTCCCCTCATTACAATACTTCTCCTCTTAAAAGAATAATCTGTGTATCTGGAAAACTCATTCACTGTGCCACGCCTGGTGCTGCCAGGTCCCTGAGGCTTCTCAAATGCAGGTGCCTTCAGTGGGCTCATCCTCCTCTTTCATGCTGAATTACCAGCTCTCTGGCATGGCCTCTTGCCTGACTCTGTTTCCTGCTGTTGCAGAGATATTGCTATGGGACAGGATCCCCACTCGAGGACCAAGGCCGCAAAGCTGCTTGAGGTTCTGAATGCCCTGGAGGAGGAAGAGTCCAGCAGCAACAGGGAGGAGATTTTTATCGCGCCACCTGACAATGCTGCAGGGGAGTTCACAGATGAGGACTCGGGGGATGAAGATGGCCGACGGGACACCCACCTGCCTGGCAGCATGCTGCACGCATCAGTCCTATCTGAGGACTCCAGCACCGGTGGAGACAACGATGACTTGGAGCTGCAGCCAGCCAGGAAGAGGAAGAAGGCAGCGGCGTGGCCTCAGCGCATGTGGACCAAGAGAGACATCCGGCCAGATTTTGGCAGCTGGTCGGCATCCGACCCACACATCGAGGACCTCAAGAGCCAAGAACTGAGTCCTGTGGACCTCTTTGAGTTGTTTTTTGATGAAGGAACAATTAATTTCATTGTTAATGAAACTAATCGTTATGCTTGGCAGAAGAATGTCAACCTGAGTCTCACAGCCCGGGAACTGAAGTGTGTTCTGGGCATTTTGATTTTAAGTGGATATATCTCCTACCCACGGAGAAGGATGTTTTGGGAAACCTCTCCTGACTCGCATCACCATCTTGTGGCTGATGCAATCAGAAGGGACAGATTTGAGCTAATCTTCTCATACCTGCATTTTGCTGATAACAACAAACTTGATGAAAGTGATAGGTTTGCCAAGGTCAGGCCTCTCATCCTGCGGATGAACTGCAATTTCCAGAAGCATGCACCCTTGGAAGAGTTCTACAGCTTTGGCGAGTCCATGTGTGAGTACTTTGGGCACCGGGGGTCCAAGCAGCTACATGCAGGGAAGCCAGTGCCACTGGGCTACAAGATTTGGTGTGGGACGACCAGCAGGGGCTACTTGGTGTGGTTTGAGCCCTCCCAGGACTCCCTCTTCACCAAGCCAGACAAGAGCCTGGATCTAGGAGGCAACATGGTGATAAAGTTTGTGGATGCACTGCAGGAGCGCGGCTTTCTGCCCTACCACATCTTCTTTGATAAGGTTTTCGCGAGCGTCAAGCTCATGTCCATTTTGAGGAAGAAGGGGGTGAAGGCCACAGGAACTGTTCGTGAGTACATGACTGAGCAGTGCCCCCTCAAAGATCCCAAAGAACTGAAAAAAATGAAGAGAGGATCCTTTGATTACAAAGTGGATGAGAGCGAGGAGATTATCGTGTGCCGCTGGCATGACAGCAGCGTGGTCAACATCTGTTCCAATGCCGTGGGCATAGAGCCGGTGAAGCTGACCAGCCGGCCCTCGGGAGCTGCCAAGACGCGGAGGCAGGTGCACCAGCCGTCGCTGGTGAAGCTGTACCAGGAGAAGGTGGGGGGCGTCGGCCGCATGGACCGGAACATCGCCAAGTACAAGGTGAAGATCCGCGGCCTGAAGTGGTACTCGAGCCTCATTGGGTACGTCATCGATGCCGCCCTCAACAACGCGTGGCAGCTGCACAGGATCTGCTGCCAGGACTTCCAGGTCGACCTCCTTGACTTCCGGAGGTACGTGGCCTGCGTGTACCTGGAGAGCAACGCCGACACGTCCTCACAGGGCAGGCGGAGCCGGCGGCTGGAAACCGAGAGCCGCTTCGACATGATCGGGCACTGGATCATCCATCAGGACAAGAGGACCCGGTGCGCCCTCTGCCACTCGCAGACCTACACCCGCTGCGAGAAGTGTCAGAAGGGCGTGCATGCCAAGTGCTTCAAGGAGTACCACATCCGGTGACAAGATGTTTACACCTAGTTACACACAGCAGTTGGAGCACGCCTTTTGTTCAAATAAAAATCTTGCTTTGGGGTATATTTGAGTCCTAGTAAGAATAATCAAAGAAAAACTTGCATGAGTGGTAAAATGGTTTTACTATTGTATACCATGATTTATAATCTAAGATAGGAGGTAGTGTTGTATAGATATCAAGTTAATATGGTGGATTTTTACATTAGGTTTCTCTCACATTAGTCTGAGGCTATCAAACTTTCCAGGATAGATAATCTGCCTTGTATTTACTCAGAATGCTAGAGTTGCAGAGTTCATATTTTCTTGATTAAAATATTTTCCTAATATACATGTATCCCTGTGGAATCTATTTTTATAAGTAACATTAGGTAGGTATCTATTTTTCCCCAAAATGAATGGTTAGCATAATTTATTTAAAATTATATTTTCCCACTTTTTAAAATTTCACTCTTATAAATTCCTGAACTTAGGGGGAACATATTGAAACAAGGAAACATTTTTATTTCGGAAAATCTGGTGAAATGTATTCCAGGAGAATAAAAGAAATACATGTAAAAAGCTGGGCATATCAGAAATCTAAGAGAGCATGTTGAATATCTTCTCTTTGGGAAAGAACTTTTTATAACGTACAAAAAGCCTGTTGAACTTTATAAGCCTGTAAATTTTACATTCATTATCATAATATCAATGCAAAGAAATTGGGAAAATATATTCCAAACTATTACATTTGTAATAATAGCTCCAGTGAACAAAGATCTCATAAACACAGAGATCACAAGAGAAAAATGTGCAAGGTTTTTATAAGAAGACATGATGGAAGATGAAAAACAGGTAAGATAATGTAAGAGACTCTGGTGGCAATTAAATGCAAATAAAAGCAATTACTAGATACCGTTTTTCATCAAATGCTTTTGTTATTTATGATTACTGGTGGTGTAGTTGTGGGAAGGTAACCAATTCATGCAGTACCTGAGGGAACATAAATCTGTAAAACCTTTCTGAAGGTGATCTGGTAAGTTCTGCCCAAAAGCCTTAAAAATTGTTCATAGAATGAAGCCGATGTTCAGTCTGTAGTGCTATAAATAAATAAAAGGTGGGACATATTCTCCTTATGATGGAATCCCAATTCATAATATAGAAGGAAAGATGTAAATAAATACTGCTGTTTGACAAATACCACTGTACAATTTTGCAGGTAAGAACTATTGTTGTATGGTGCACTCAGCAGACAAAATATCTCACAAGATACTCATCAGTTACAAATGGAAAAAAATATCAGGCAGACACCACCTCAACCAAGCACTCCGAGTTAATACCACCTGTAATGAGATGCTGACGTCACATGCCTCTTCCTCTCTGTCCTGAAGCATGAGATAAACCCAAATTGAGGAACATTTCTCAAGACAGTTGGCCTATGCCCTTTGAAAGTGTCAGGACCTTGAAAGACAATGAAGGCAGGGAATTGTCTGAGATTAGATGAGATCAAGGAGTTGTGAAAATGCGTGATGTGTGATATTGGCCTCAGATCCACAAAAAAAGCTTCAAGAAAAGATATTCTTTATTTATGAGATGTAGATAAGTCCTGTAGATTAGTTAGTAGTATTTTATAGAGACTAATTTCCTGGATTGCATAATTGTACCGTGGTTATGAAGGATGTATATGTCTTGCTAAGATGGGTAAAAGGAACTATTGTACTATTGGAACCTTTTTGTAATTCTGAAATAATTTCAAAGTGAACATTAGAAAAATGTTCCTACATTTGGTGCACTCTTTCCATCTTTATACATCTAGCCTGGACACTTTTCAAACATTTGTTGAAACAGGAGGTTTGTTGTTGAGCAAATTCTTTCTGTTTTCTTCTGCATCATGACGATCAGGAATATTAGCCAGGTATTTATTTTTACCTTACTAATGGTCCAGATGAATGAATTGAAATGGTTGTGAAAACAGTCTGTAAAGCTTTTAGAAGCTACTGAATGGCCAATTGTAACCCCTTTCCTAAGAGTTAAAGGAAGTATTACCACCATGGCAGATTTAATAGTCTCATGTTGTAACAGGTGAAGTCTCATGTGCCGTCTTTTCCAGGGAACCAACTCAAGCCCAGACTACCATCTAGTAGAAGGCTGTGTGGACATCAAGTATCACAGCTGACTGTGAAGGCCATTTAACATTCCTTGTTGACATATTCTCAAAGGCAGCCTTGAAGGCACAAAAGGAAACTAGGAGATCGTCACCATGCAAATAGGGAAATAGGTGACCTGATTATCTACCTTGTCAACCATTGTACAATAGAACTGTTGATGAATCTCTTAACTGCAAAATATATAAAAATTGTCCTGGTTATTCTGGATGCCATTTGAACTCTTTCTAGTTGCTAATAAATTAGGCACAACTGAAAAATTTAGTATATACTGATAGCAGACTGTGGAAGCCTGAACAAACTGAAAGTTCTTCAAAATTATGAAAACTCCATCTATAAGATTTCATGAAGTTTAACTGGACAACTATATCTTTAAAAACTATTGCGATATGAAAAAAAATGTACCTTCTTAACCAATTTGAATATACAGTTGTATAATACTGACATCATTGGGCAACAGATCTTTAGAAGTGTTTCATCTTGTAAAACAGAAAGCTATACAAATTCCCCATTTTCCCCTCCCTCCAGGCATTGGCAGCCACCATTCTACTTTCTGTTTCCATGAGTGTGACTATTTTAGATACTTCACATGAGTGAAATCATACAGAACTTTTTCTGGCTGGCTTATTTAGCATAATGCCATCAAGCTTCATCCGTGTTGTAGCATATGACAGGATTTCTTTTAAGTCTGAGTAGTAGTGTATTGTATGTATTTAACACATTTTCCACACCCATTTATCTGTTGATAGACACTTGAGTTACTTTTATCTCTTGACTATCATAAAAATACTGCAATAAACATGCATATGCAAATATCTGAGATCCTGCTTTCAATTTTTTGGCTGTATACCCAGTAATGGGCTTACTGAATCTTACAGTAATTACATTTTAAATTTCTGTGGAACCTCCATACGGTTTTCTATAGTGGCTGCACCATTTCACACTCCTACCTGCAGTGTACAAGGACTCCAGTTTTTCCACGTATTCACCAGTACTTGTTATTTTCTGTTTTTTAGACAGTGGTCATTCTGGTGGGGGTAAGTTGATAGCTCATGGTGGTTTTGTGAATCAAAACCACAATGTGATGCTGAACACCCCCTTTTGTGATGTTGAGCAGCTTTTCCTATGCTTGTTGGCTATTTGTATATCTTTTTTTTTTTAAGAGATATCTATTCAGTTCTGTGCTCATTTTTTGATCAGGTTGTTTTTTATCGAGTAGGAGTCCTTTATATGTTCCACTTTTAACCCTTTACCAGATATATGATTTAAAAATACTTTTTCTCATTCTATAGATTTGTTTGTTGTTTCTCATTCTATTTGTTCATGCATGGAAGTTTTTAAGTTTGATGTAGTCCCATTTGTCTATTTTTGCTTTTGTTGCCTGTGCTTTTTGTATCATATCCCAAGAAATTTTTGCCAAATCTAATGTCATGAAAATTTTTCCCTGTCTTACATTTAGGTCTTTAATTCATTTTGAGCTAATGGTATAAGGTGAGGGTTCAACTTCATTTTTTTGCATATGGGTATCCAGTTTTCTCAGCCCCATTTGTTGAAGATACTGTATTTTTCCAAGTGTATGATCTTGTAGAAGAGGATTTATTCCTGGGCTTTCTATGCTGTTTCATTTGTCTATGTGTTTATATTTATGCCAGTACCACACTGTTTTGGTTTCTATAGCTTTGTAATATTTTTTACTATTGGAAAGTACGAGGCCTTCAGTCTTGTTCTTTTTTCTTTTCTTTTTTTTTTGAGTTGGAGTCTCATTCTGTCGCCCAGACTGAAGTGCAGTGGCATGCTCCTGGCCACTGCTGCAGCCTCGACCTGCTGGGCTCCGGGAGCCTTCTGCCTCAGCCTTCCAAGTAGCTGGAACTACAGGCACGCGCTACCATGCCTGGCTAATTTTTTTGATTTATTGTAGAGCTGAGGTCTCGCCAAGTTGCCCAGGTGGGTCTCGAACCCGTGGGCTCAGGTAATCTGCTCACCTCAGCCTCCCAAAGCGCGGATTACAGGCTGAGCCACCGAGCCCGACTCTTTTTTTTTTTTTTTTTTCTAAGCTTGTTTTGGCTCTTCAGGATTCCTTAAGATTATATATGAATTTTATAATTTTTTTATGCTTCTGCAAAAAAATGCCATTGGAATTTGAATTAGGATTTCATTGAATCTGTAGATTGCTTTGGGAAGTATAGACACTTAAATATTATGTTTTTCAATTTATGAACACAGAGTGTCCCCATTTACTTGTGTTTCCACCCTGCAGTGTTTTGCACATTTCAGTGTGTAAGTCTTTTGCCTGCTTGGTTCAGCTTATTCCTGTTTTATTCTTTTTGATGCTTTTGTAAATGGGATTGTATTCTTAATTTCATTTTTGGATTGTTTATTGTTCGTGTATAGAAATACCACTGAATTTTGTGAGTTGATTTTGTATCTTTCACTTCACTGAATTTGTTGATTAGTTGTGGTGTTTTTGTCTGTGAAGTCCTAAGGGTGTTCTACATACAAGATTATCTAAGAATAGATAATTTTACTTGTTCCTTTCCAAATTTGAGGGCTTTTACTTCTTTTTCTTCTTGATTGCTGTGACTAAGATTTTCACTACTGTGCTGAATAGAAATGGTGACAACAGTCATATTTATCTTATTCCTTATCCTAAAGGAAATGCTTTCAGTTTTTCACCACCAAGTACTATGTTAGCTGTGAGATTTTTGTAAGTGACTGTCATTATGTTGAATAGGCTATTTCCATTTCTAGTTTATTTATTTAAATATTTTTAATGATTATGGATATATAATAATATACATACCTAGCCTCTTGAGTGTGTGAAACATGAAAGAGTGTTCAATTTGTGACTACTTTTTCTGTGTCAATTGAGATGATTGTGTGTTTTTTGTTCTCCATGCTGTTAATGTGATGTATGACATTGATTGATTTTTCAGATGTTGAACTATCCTTGCATTCTAGGAATAGGAATGAATCCCACTTGGTTGTATAGTTATTTTAATATGCTGTTTAATATTAGTTCATATTATTTTGTTGAGAATTTTTGAGATGTTATTATTATTACTTGTAGCAATGAGGGTCCTGCTGTGTTGTCCAGGGTTGTCTCAAACTCCTGTCCTCAAGTGATCATCCCGCCCCAGCCTCCCAAAAGTGCTAGGATTATAGACATGGGCCACCATGCCCAGCAGTTTGAGGATTTTTGCATAAATATTCATCAGGGGATATTGGTCTGTCATTTTTTAGTATCTTTGTCTTTAGTATCAGGTTAATGCTGCCTTCAAATAATATGCTTAGAAATAATTCCTTCTCTTTAATATTTTGGAAGAGTTTCAGGAGGGATGGTTTTAATTCTTTAGATTGGTAGAATTATTCAGTGATATCATCAGGTCCTTAGCTTTTCCTTATTGGGAGGTTTTTGATTCCTGATTCAGTCATACATACACACACACACATGCACACACACACACAAACACACACACACATGTTCAGGTTTGTTATTCATGATTTAGCCTTGATTGTATATTTCTAAGAATTTACCCATTTTTTTCTAGGGTCTCCAATTTATTGGTATATAATTATTCATGGTAATCTGTTATGATCTTTTTTATTCCTATGCCATCAGCTATAATGTCCCCTCTTTCATATGTGATTTAGTTATTCGAGTCCACTTTTTTTCTTAATGAAGCTAAGGCTTTGTCAATTTTGTTGATCTTTTAAAAAAAACTCTTAGTCTTGTTGATTTTTAAAAATTGT